ACAAATCTTTCAGCTCAGTTCTACATGTCGGAGTCTTGTACCTTAAAACAGGTACTTGAAAATCCATCCTTGGCAAATGTTGCCCAACCCATGTCAATGGAGGCACTGACGCAAAAGCAGAAATCAATTTCTACATGAAATTTTATGAAAGCAAGAGACAGCTACTAGTGTTGAAAATACGATTACCTTTTCATAAATATACAATCTGCAGTATTGCAAATGATGCTAAACAAAGGCTTTGCATATTTTTGGTAAATATTATGCCCTCTGGAATATACAATATGAGTATCTTCTCATTTCCTTTTCACGACAAGGACTTTTACGACCAATGAGTAATAACCTTACTGGAATTTGAACTGCTGTTAAATTCTGAACACCATACATAATGGATACTAAGGCCCCATTATCAATACATAATTAAATTGTAAGTCATTCCTTGAATCTTCACATGCAATTAATATTTAGGCAACACAGAATGAACTGTGTATATATAATGTACGGGTCACAAAGAATGATATGTGACAATATAATTATCATAGAGCTTTTTTGTCTATCACATTCAAGTAAAATTTACATTTCCTTTTGTGTATAGCCAAACAAAGCTATTTTTTCATGAATAGACTATCTTCATGATAACAATCTATGTAACTGTTCACAATCAGATATGTGTGACTTGTATTTATAGATATGTTCACTAATGAGTAGTTCATGCAGAGTCCCTCTAAGATATGAACCAGAGAAACTATGGATATTACTGAATACCAACACATCTTCCCCTGTTAAGTCATTCATCCCATTCATACCTCTCTTTCAACATTTACCACAAGGAAATATGAATCCAATTGGGAATATCCCTGTCATATCACCATAAAAACAATAATCAAACAACACTTACAAATTTGTCCCTGTATTGAGACTGATAAATCTCACGATTTTCTACATTTAATTCCTTTCCACCGAAATCCTATAAAGGACATATAATGAGCAATGAGGGGAAGATATGACATTATGGAAGGATGACAGAAAGAAGAGAAATGAGAGAGAGTGAGAGAAAAGAAAATATGTATAAAGTGTGAGGAAAAAACACACATGATTTAAACTCCAACTCACTGAGCAGTTAAAGCTTCTTTCACAGTATCAAGGCACAGGCATCTTTCCTCAAATCTAAACAAGGTCAACCCTAACCTTCCATCAAATGACCTAACTTGCCTCAGAGCTGAGACTCATTAATTCCCTAAATAAGCAATTTTTTCCCTCAAACTTGAAACAGATTATTTCCCCCTTCAAGCAAATTTTTCTTTTTCTTTTTTTTCTATTTTTTTAGAATCAAAGCATAATATCATCCCTTATCCACTCCAAAAGCAATACCAATGGAACCTTTCTACAATTTTTCCTATCCTTAGCACAGCCAACCACAGGCTCCTTTTAGATGGCAGTCACACAAGTGTTTTTTCAATGATAAGTTGGTAGTAACTTCAACTTTTCAACTTCCCTCATCTTCCAAGCATGCATAATCTACTACTTAGTAGCAAGTAGAAGCAGACAATATGTATGGTGCAGAATCAGTGAGCATGCATGGTAAGAGAGTTAGTAGAAAAGAATAATCAACTACACAAAAAATATTAATCATGTACATTTCAATTGATATGATTTTTAAATAGATATTGCATTTTATATCCTTATATTTCTCAAGCGACTGTTAATTTTACATGGAAATCCATTTGATGTCATGATGTCCATGATGTCATCAATGTTTACATACATGTGGCTGCCAAATTCCTCAAAGGAGCTTGTGTATATTTAACCTCCTAACAAAGTTCTTGCAGCAGATTATGAAACACACTTTGACTATTTCTTTTCTGCAGCCATAAACAAACCCCCATTAATTGTTCAAATAATCATTGAACCTCCATATCTAGCGGTAATGACAAGTAACTTGCAAGGAGGGACGTGCAGGCAACTGTTATAAGGCCCACAGATAACATCAAATGGTGGATCATATCACAAAAGGTTTGCTGAAAAAAGCACTCATGTGACCATGCCTTTACATTCCTAGTAACAAACAAATGTGTGAGGTTTTCCCCTACACACAAACCATATATGCAAAGCATATATGTCAAATATCCATCAAGATTGCAACCTTAACATAAACTCAAATACTTTGCCACTGCACTTGATCATCTTTAACAATGTATACTGACGAAAAAAGATTATTAAGGTTAATACTGTAAAACATCTGTTCATAAACTTCGCAGTCCAGAGTTTACTAGACACTGGTTCTGCAAGTTTACATACAGTTCCATAAATAAATAAACTCTAGCTAAGTAATACAGCCATATCCTAAAAAAGGATTCAACATTAACTTGCTGTTTATGACAACAAATAAGTAAATGATGACAGGCAAAAAAAAAAAAAAAAAAAAAAAAAAAAAAAATTTTTAAATTGCGTATGAAATTTAAAAATGAATAAAAAAAAAAAAAAAAAAAAAAAACACCACCAT